TCTATAGCATTCGTCAGTCAATTGCAAAATCCCTAGTCGCGTTCTACCTAAAAATACATTGATGAGCAGTCAAAAGGAGAGCAAGGACATCCTTGTTAGATGCGACATGACTTTGCTTGTAGGTGACCAACATCGCTATGAGCCGAAGAAGTTTGGTAATCTTGGAGCTCTTGCTAGGTTCCAGAAGTCCTATAGTTGAATCCCAGTAGTTTTCATAATATTATACTCTTCATTTTTCAACAACATATGGTGGTGGAGGCTGAGGTGGTGGCGATGACGGTGGCGACAACAATGTGGTTGGTGCTGAAGGTGGTAGAGTTGGTGGAATGAGGTGGGGAAGAGATGAAGAATGGTTATGACTAGCTGATTGTTATTTGTGACTAGTAAATNNNNTGATTGTTATTTGTGACTAGTAAATGATTGTGGCCTTTTAATTATGTGATTTGTGACTTAATATAGGATTTGTGACCACAAATTGTTTGGTACGTGACTGTGATCATGTGTGATTTTGTGACTAGTATGTGGCCATGACCAAAAATGTATTTTTATTGTGATCGTGATCTATTTGATTAAATATAGATCACAATATTTTATCAGATATTTGTTAAATTTTATCCAGTTTGTTAAATTTGAAAGTATATTTTGAAAGAATAATATTTATGTATTTTTCCATTATGAATTTTTAGAGTTCATTGGTAGAAGATATAGATTAATAATTTACTTCATTGTTCTATGACAACCTTTTTGGTGCCACATTCTTAAGAAGCATACTTGGTCCTCGATAGTGGTTAGTATGCTTGAAATGAGAGGAAAATATTTTGCCATCATTTTGTATTTATTATTTAGTTCAAATGATCATACTACATGTATCGAATTGTTTTATCGAATCTTTTACCTACTACTCACAATGAGGATGTGGACCTTATTGTCAAAATTTTTAAATGCACGCGAGTCTCGCGCATTATATGAGATGAGATAATCTATTATGCACAAACCGTTATGTACAAATAAATTAACCCTAGTTCAAAACATGAGTGACAAAGTCTTTAAGTCTTGAGAGGACTATTTGAATGAAATTGTCATCAGATATAATGGGGGCTAGTAACTAGTGGATAGTTAAAAGTTATGAATTCAAGTGTGACAATGTGTAAAGAATGAGAACTTTGAGTACAAGCAAGAAGTGGCATAAAAAAATGCGATGGAAATATACCCCCTCCAACAAAAAATTGCTGTAAATCAGTTGTTGGATTTTAAACCATTATTATCATTTCCAAAACCATTCCTGAAAAGGGCCTAAAGTATGGCCTAGTATAAATATTTCATTTGGCCTAATTTGCTCAAATTAGTACAACACAAGACCCAAAATTGACAGACCGCAAAATTGGGCAAGGAATCCAGTAATCAAGGCCCTGAATAGGCATGGCGCGTCGAGAAGATGGTTTGAAGAAGAGGTATGGAACCTTAAACCCTGAATTACTGTATAAATAGTGAATACCGAAACTTCATTGAACTTCTGGGATTTTGTTACTTTCACTTTATTTTCAGTCCCATTATTAAATTGAGTTGGACTAGTGGATGAAAAGGAACTGATGCAATTCATATTATCCACTAAGACATGAGTAATAGCGAGCTTATCTAAATCGAACCCGTCGAACTTCAGTTCCCATGTAACCAGGGGCGGAGCCTAATGAGGTCCAGTGTGGGCACATGCCCACACTGGACTTCTGGGCCTAACCCTATGGCCCAGATTTTTTTTTAAGTAATGTGCTAACTTTCAACCCAAGGGTGAAGTTTAGAACCATTACCAATACACACTACCCTAATGTAAATAGCCTATGACCACTGTCCAGCCTAATTCAAAAATTAATATCATGTGCCCACACTGGACTTCTGGGCCCAACCCTATAGCCCAGATTTTTTTTAAGTAATGTGCTAACTTTCAAGAAGAAATTACATAATTACAGGGGTTTGAAGATTGAAATTCAAAAATTAGGGACCAAATTTCATTATTCAAAAATCTGATAATATATTAAAACCCCAACCCTAATTTATCACTTTCAACTCNTAATATATAAAACCCCTAACCCTAATATTTACCTCTATACTCCTTCCCCTCTTTGTCTCTCGCCTCCTCTTCTCCTTCTCCCCTCCCTTTTCCCAATCGGTGGTGCAAGGGCATCATGCTGGTGAGAGATCTATAGCATCTTCCAGCGGCAGCAATTTATGTCAAAATTAGGATTTAAATCTGGGTGGTACGATCTGTGTGGCTGTGTGGTGTGATTTGCAATCCCTCTTTGTCTGTGTGTTGGGGTTTTGATGAAGGTGGTGACGTCGGTGCGATAGTGGTGGCAGCGTGGTATGATCTGTCTGTTTGTGTTGATCTGTACGTTTGTGTGTGGGCTGTATATTAGATTGTTGGTGCAAGTAGTGATGATGGTGCAGTGGTGGCGTTGTTGGACTATTGTTACAGGCGATGGAGGTGTGATGGTGGTGGTAGCGACGCTGAATCAATGGTTTGAGCTTGTCTGTGGCGGTGAGGAGGCCTGTGCTTTGGTGGTGAACAGTGGTGATATGGCGTTGGTGGTGGTTTTCCATGAAAAGGAGGTGAATGGATTAGTGGGGCTTTGTGCTTTGGCGGTGAACGATAATGATAAAGTATTGGAGACGACTGTCTGTGAGGAGGAGGGGTTGCATAGCTAGGTGGTGATTAATCACAGGCGACTGTCTGGGATTAAGAAGTTGTTGGAGACCTGTATTGAAGTGGCGATGGTGGACGGTACAGTAGTGACGATGGTGGTTAGACAGTGCGATAGTGACTGGGCTCTAGATTTTCATTTTGGGGTAGGGTGGGGCTTGGTAGGGGTAGGCAGGGGATAGTCTGTGACCAAATGTTGGTAATCTGTGACCAAATGTTTGGTAATTTGTCACCAATTACTCAATTGTGACCTAAAAATTTAATAATATGTGACTCAAAAATAATCTTTGACCAACTAATTTAAAAATCTGTGATCTCGAAATAATTTGTAACGTACAAATTTTTTAATATGTGATCTCGAAATAATTTGTGACGTACAAAATTTTTAATCTGTGACATCAAAATAATCAATGATCAATTAATTTTAAAATATGTGACCTATCATTATGTATATGTGACAATTAATTATATAACTATGATCTTATTATATTTAATTAATAAATATTTTTAAGTAATTAATTAAAAATCTAATTTTTATATTAGTCAAATTTAAAACTTAATTTTTGGATTGTGTATAGTTAATACCTTACTTT